TTTATGGAGACAGACACAAACAAACAAAACTTGCTTCCCATAGAAAGGGTTACAACTGTGGTTGTTGGTGTTAGAGGTACAGATGACTTGTACAACACAAGTTCAGCACATTCCCACTACACTTTTGCAAGGTAAATTTAAGGCAAATAGTAATAAAATGAAACTTTTGCCCTGTAAAGGGAGCCTGTAAAAATGAGTAGATAGTAATTTCTTTAAGAGAAGAAACTATGAAGAAAACCCAAGGCTCTGTGCAGGTACATTCTTCTATAGTACCTTGAGGTGTGCACTTCCTCAGTGTCACAGGAAGTGAAAATCTTCGTTGAGGAAAGGCCACTGATCTAACACCCAGGGCATCATTTAGTTAGGTAGGAACATCTTGCAGGGATGGTAATTTCCTCTTGTTCTGTCTATGGTGGGAACAGACTTTATACACAATGATACCCAAGAGACAAAGATTAGGTTAATTGCTTCTCCAGGTTGGATAGTCCTAGTCTTTTATTGCCACTTTGGACAGGAGGTGTTAGCCATTTCCTCGTTTCTGTGTCTGCTTTGGCTCCTGTCCTAGTTCTCTATGTCCCTGTGGAACCCCAAACTTAACACAGATTCTGCTTCTAGCTAGTTTCTGGACAACTATGCATGCCCAGCTTCTGAGAAAGACAGTTCCATTCTCTTATGATCATGCACACTTACATCCCTCTGCTCTTGGGCACACCCGTGTTCCCATGCATAAAGAGGACAGCTACCTAGGTAGGGGTAAATCCTGAGACAGTCAAAGGCTGCAGCTTCTCCAGGGTTTTTTTAATGCAGAATAAATAATTTAAATTAACAGAAAAGGCAGAATTATAGGGGAGAAAAATCACAAAAAGACTATGAGAACCTTGAAATGGACTAGGAGGCAGTATCAGCAGGGAAGTTCAAGGGAAGGCAGAGATTACAGAAGGGAGAAGGGAATACCTTCCACTTGTCTTAGGGCTGGAACTGTCACTAGTAGAAGGAAATTAGTACCTCAAAGTTTGGTGCTCAAGATCTGTATTAGTCAGTTTTCCATTTCTCTAATGAAATATCTATGACTGGGCACTTTATAAAGAATAGAGTTTGGCTGGGCATGATCCCAGCACTTTGGGATGCACAGGCAGGTGGATCTCTGTGATTTCAAGGCCAGCTTGAAAACTCCTAGTGAGTTCCAGGACAGCTGGGGCTACAGGGAGACCCTGTCTCAAAAAGACCAAAAATAAAAGAAAAAAATAATAAAAAATAAAGAAAAGGGCTGGAGAGATGGCTCAGCAGTTAAGAGCACTGACCTCTCTTGCAGAGGACCTGGGTTTGATTCCCAGCATCCACATGGTGGCTATGAACTGTCCTTAACTCCAGTTCCAGGGGAATCTGAAGCCCTCTTCTGACCTCTGTGGCATTGCACGACATGGGTGCACTCACATATATGCAGACAATACACTCATAAAAAATAATAATAAATAAAATATAACTTTAAAAAGAAAGAAAGAAAGAAAAGAGGTTTATTTGCCTCACAGAAGTTCATTTGGAGGTAGAAACTCCAAACAGCATGGCACCAGTTCCAGAGAGGGGTCCTCAATTATACCAAATCATAGTATTATAGATGGTATCAAAGAATGTGTGCAAGAAGGAAAGATCTTGTAGTAAAACAGGAAATCAGAGAACAGCAAGGTGTTAGGCACTTTCGTTTACAACAATTTACTTTCTGGAGAATTAACTCAAGGTCCTGCAATAACTACTTTAGTCCCTTCCAAGGACAGCACTCTCGATGAACTAACCCACTCCACTCTTAAAGGTTTCACCACCTCTTAATACCACCACCTCTGGGAACAGGCTTAAAATACACAAACCCTTGAGGGACACCACATTCAAACTGTATCAGGCCCATTACTCAGGTTTACTAAACTCTGGGGTGACTCTGCACATATAACTAGCCTGTACACATCCTACTGTTTCTGACTGGGTCCAACTGGGAGAAATTTTATGGAACATGTGGTCAAATGGATTTCAGTCTTATACACAGGCCTTTAGGAGTTCCTAGTAGCTCCCCATATTACTGGAGAGGAGAAGACTAAGGTCCTGACCATCTCTCCTACCCAAACAGATGAGCTAGATGGAACCATAGTTCAATCGTTTTCATTTTTACATAAGATTTGTGGAGGGAACAAAAATACTTTTAGTAAAAAATGTTTGCTGTTAGGCATAGTGGCACATGTCTTTAATCTCAGCACTCAATATGCAGAAGCAGGTGGATCTTTGTGAGTTTGAAGCTAGCTAGTCTGTGTAGCCAGTTCCAGGCCAGCCAGGGCTACATAGAAAGACCCTGTCTCAAAAAAAAAAAAAAAAAGTTTGGGTTTGAGAGGAAGGCACTGGAGAGATGGCTCAGCAGTTAAGAGTACCTCCTAATCTTCCAGAAGATCTGGCTTAGGTTCCCAGCCCTCATGTTAATTGGTTTACAACCATCTATAACTCTAACTACAGAGGATCCAGTGCCCTCTTCAGGCCTCCACAAGTACCCATACCTATGTGGCATACATTTACACAGACATGCACATGTACAGACAAATAAAAACAAAAGTAGCCGGTCCTGGTGGTGCACATGTTTAATCCCAGCACTTGGGAGGCAGATATCTGTGAGTTCAAGGCTAGCCTGGTCTATATAGTGAATTCCAGACCAGCTGGGGCTACAGGGAGACCCTGTCTCAAAAATACCACCCCCCCAAATACATATTTTTTTAAATGTTTAAGAGGGGTAGAGAGATGGTTCAGGAATTAAGAGTACTGGCTGTTCTTCCAGAAGACCTAGATTTGGATCCCAGCATCCACATGGAGGGCTAAAAATGGTCTGTAACTCCAGTTCCAGGAGATCAGACATCCTCTCCTGCCTCCATCAAGCATTGCATATATGTGGTACACTTACATCCATGCAGGCAAAATGCTCATACACATAAAATTAATTGATTAATTAAAAGTGTTTGAGGGCTGAAATGAAGCTCAATTGATAGAATGCTTGCCCAGTATGCATGAAGCCCTAGGTTCATTCCTTAGCACTGCATAAAACTGGATATAGTAATACCTGCCTATAATCCCAGGAGTTGAGAAGTAGAGGTTGGATGATCAGGAGTTCACGATCATTCTTGGCTATATAGCAAGTTTGAAGCTAGCCTGGGATACATGAGATGCTATCTCAAAAATTAATTAGTATAAAAACTACAAGCTGGGCATTACGGCACTTATCTGTGATTCCAGTACTCTGGAGGCTGAGGCAAGAGGACTATGAGTTAGAGGTCAGCCTGGACTATATGGCAAGACTCTATCTCAAGACAAAACAAAACAAAAGTTTACAAATAGTTGACTGTCCATTCTATCTGCCTCAACTTAAGACAGCCCTCCGACAACATTCATACTGCATTCACATCTGTGGCAGCTTCAATCATCAGAGACCTCTTTTCCAAACACTCTTGAGGTCTTAGTGATACCTAGCTGATGATGGCTAGAACATGAGAGATGAAAATTGCTTAGAGATTATCTGCTCTAACTACTTCATTATACAAAGGGAGAAACTGAGACCAGAAGAGGTGAAAAGTCATTAACAGGCCTTTCTTTGGCAGAGAAGAGGAACTCATTACTTAACAATGCACTTGCTTCTAAAATGGTTTGAATGTGCTTAGTAAATAAATTTTTCTTTGATCATCACAACCAATCTTTTAGATAAACTATCTCTTGATTTGACCTAGACCCTCTGATACAAAGAAAGGAAGAAGAAATCAAAATGTACAGTTCAGGATCTCTCTCTCTCTCTCTCTCTCCCTCTCTCTCTCTCTCTCTCCATTTATATTATATTATATTAATGCTATATATATAATTTCCCCCCTTTTTTGAGACAGAGCCTTTTGTATACTAAGCTGACTTCACATTTCAACTCACTATGTATTCAAGGATGACCTTGAACTTGTTTTCTTCTTGCTTCCCAAGAGCTGGAATTAAAGGCTGGTGCTGGCTTATTACTATTCATATTTTATAAATAAGAAGATTGAGGCTTAGAAAGACCATTTATCCAATTCCACACAACCACTAAGTAGTAGAGTTCGGCCTTGCAAGGTTTTCAGGCTCCAAACCCTTTGTTCTACCCATCCAAATTCCTCTTCTATAGGGAATTCTAATAGGGCTGGAGTTTAGGTGAATTTCCCAAACTTACTACCCAGTTGCAGGACTGTTTTTATACTGGGCAGACCTGTTAGGATGCAGCTGATGTCTGGGGTAAGGACAGGGGGTTCTTTGTATGTCTGGGAACTGCCTGTGTGTTTAGGCCCTAAAGTTCCTGTTCTTGAGCATTGTCTTAGGACGCACTCCATTTTCTTTGTGAATCTATGCTCCTATGCTTGCTTTATTTCCTGCCATCTTAATTCCATATCAGATTCAATATGTATGGGGTGCTCAATCAACATTTCTATAAAAGGAATATGTAGAGTGGGGACTAGGTGGAATCTTTTTTAAGATTTATTTTTATTTATTTGTGTGTGTGTGTGTGTGTGTGTGTGTGTGTAGGATCTCGAGAGGCCCAGAGGCATTGGATCCCCTGGAGCTGGAATTACAGATGACTGTGAACCACTAAATATGTTCACAAGGAATCAAACTCAGGTCCTCATCAAGAACAGCATGTGCTCTTAGCCCCTTAGTCACCTCTCCAGCCCCTAGGTGGAATCTTCTGTAAGAGAAAGGCAATGGGAAAAACACCAGAGAGGTAGAAGGTCAGGAAAAAAAGGGAACAGAAGACCTTTAATGGTTATGAGGGAAGACAAAGGAGCAGGGGGCAGAGAGCTCCCAGGGGAGAGGGGATAGCACTGATGGGTAAGAGCAAAAGCTGGCAGGGAGTGACAAACCTGAAGGGGTCAGACCCTGAAGGATCAGAGGGCTGGATGGTGGAAGTAGGCCTTGGAGCCGAGGGCCTGACACTGTCCTCTTCCCCAATGGGCCTCTGTTCACAGACCCCCTGGAGGGGGTGAACATCACCAGCCCAGTGCGTCTCATCCATGGCACGGTGGGGAAGTCGGCCCTGCTTTCTGTGCAGTACAGCAGCACCAGCAGCGACAAGCCCGTGGTGAAGTGGCAGCTGAAGCGTGACAAGCCGGTGACTGTGGTGCAGTCCATTGGCACGGAGGTCATTGGCACCCTGCGGCCTGACTATCGAGACCGTATCCGGCTCTTTGAAAATGGCTCCTTGCTTCTCAGTGACCTGCAGCTGGCTGATGAGGGCACCTATGAGGTGGAGATCTCCATCACTGATGACACCTTCACTGGGGAGAAGACCATCAATCTCACTGTGGATGGTAAAACACTATAGCAGGAAAGGAGGGCTGGAAAGGAGACTGAAGCTAGGACTAGACCCCAGAAAACTCAACACAAAAGGTGCATGGAGTTAAGAGCAAACTGAACGCCCATTAGGAGGTAGCGACTAGGCACAGCTCACATGGAGAGAATGTTTGCTGGTCTAAGTGCTTTGCATAGGCCAGTTCACTTACTACTTATAATCTAGGGATAGATAATACCATCTTTCCGTTTTGAAAATGAAGAAATCAAGGCACAATGAGTAACTTGTCCAAGCTCATATGGCTGATAGAACTTAACAGTAAACCCAGAGAGTTGGACCTAAATTTCCCCTAACTAAAAATCTTCCAAGTTGGATCAGTTTAAGTCATTAAAGTCCAGAGGTCTTGGAATGATATTTAGCAGAAGGGCATGAGAACAGACACAGTGGCTGTGTTGTTCAGTCTAGTGAGTATTTGGTTAACAGTGAGTGAATGAATGCATGAATGAAGAATGCATTGTGAGAAAGGACTGAACTGAGGATCCCTGAAGGAACTTAGACCACAGACTGAGTCATGGTGTGTTGAAGGTGGAATAATAAAGAAGCTTTGTAGTTCATGACTCACAGACTTTTCTGTCCCCTGGGGCTCAGTGCCCATTTCAAGGCCACAGGTGTTAGTGGCTTCGACCACTGTGCTGGAGCTCAGTGAAGCCTTCACCCTCAACTGTTCCCATGAGAATGGCACCAAGCCCAGCTACACCTGGCTGAAGGATGGCAAGCCCCTCCTCAATGACTCCCGAATGCACCTGTCCCCCGATCAAAAGGTGCTCACCATCACCCGAGTGCTCATGGAGGATGATGACCTATACAGCTGCATGGTGGAGAACCCTATCAGCCAGGTCCGCAGCCTGCCTGTCAAGATCACCGTGTACAGTGAGTCTCCCTGCCTGCCTGAGAGAAAAGTGTCCACTGGGAATTAGGGCATCTCAGAAGGTGACCCTAGAGGGAGATAGAGATGGGCTGACTATCCATGGAGGACAGCAGAAAATGGGAAGTAGGCTCAGGGTGAGTTCTACCATTGGCCATCCATGCTGCCTGGGGCCCCTTTTCTCTTCCTTCTCCTGCCAGATGTTGTACTCACCACACTTGCTCCCCCTCTCTGAAATCTCTCCCACTCCTCTGCCTCTCTTTCCTTAGGAAGAAGCTCCCTCTATATCATCTTGTCTACAGGAGGCATCTTCCTCCTTGTGACCCTGGTGACAGTCTGTGCCTGCTGGAAACCCTCCAAAAAGTCTAGGTAACTAGTCAACTTTCACACCTTAATTTTTCCTTCAGTCTATGCCAATCCTGAGTCCAGTATTGATTGAATGACTGTTGATTGGTTGATTGGTTAGACTGACTGTGGTGCTAGCGTTGAATCCAGGGGCATGTTTATACTATGCAAGCTCTCTAGTACTGAGCTATACCCCTAGTCCCCAAGCACTATTCTTTGTGTTTGAGGGGATGGTATGTGTTCCTGTGGGTGCACATGTGTGTGGCAGGCACAGGTCAACCTCAGGTGTTGTTCTTCAGGAGTCATTCACATTGGTTTTTTGAGACAGAGTATCTCATTTGCCTGGAGCATGCCAATCAGGCCAGACTGGCTGACCAGTGAGCCCCAGGGATCTGTTTGTCTCTGCCTCTTCAGTGCTGGGATTACAAGTATGTGACCATGCCCAGCTTTAATGTGGGTTTTGGGGATCAAACTCAGGTCCTTGTACTTGCAAGACAAGCACTTTGCCAAATGAGACATTCCTTTCTAGCTCTACAGTTCTATTCTTGTCTCTTTAAATTCCTTTCCCCCTAGGGCATTCTTCTTTCTAGCTGTGTCTTTCCATTGTATATGGAACTGTGTTTGTGCTCGGCACTCCGAACACCCAGCACTATTAATGATGGTTTCACTTGCTGAGCATCTTTTTGGGGCTAGGCAGTCTGGTTGGGGTTAGTGTGCTACTGTTTAAGTCTTAGCACCTATAACCAGACTGAATAAATGTCTTTCCCACATCCGCAATGCTAGTGACATTCCTAGTATGCAAACCTACATGTGACTTATTCCAAAGCTCATGGACTAACCACCATACCCGATCTGTCTTTCTGCCTCTTTTGTGGTTACTAGAACTCTTCCTGTGTTCCTGCCCTAGATTTTCTGTTCATATTCAATAGCTCTGCTCTTGGTGGGGGATGGATTGGTTTTCAGGAAGAAGAGGAAGCTGGAGAAGCAAAACTCCTTGGAATACATGGACCAGAACGATGACCGCCTCAAATCAGAAGGTGAGCTCCCATCCACTTGCTCATCCATCCCATCACCACTCAGGCCAGTGGGCTGCTGGGAGAAGGAAGAAGGGAGTGACAGGGAAGTCAGCACAACAGGGAGAGGTGCAGCCACGTTGGGCGTTGGTGGAGGCTGTGGTGGGGTCCTGATTGGCCACTTAGGCCAAGAGCATAGGTGCTGACTGGTGTGGAGGACATCCCTGGGCCAGACAGTCCATTCTTCCCCTGTGCAGCAGACACCCTGCCAAGAAGTGGAGAACAGGAGCGGAAGAACCCAATGGCACTCTACATCCTGAAGGACAAGGTGAGCAGGTCTGGTCAGGGAGCCCCTACCACATGCTGAGAAGCCTACCACACCGCCACCCCTCCTCAGGCCTTGGAATACCTGTGAAATCTTTAGGCCTTCCCATTCTAGGGAATAGAAAATAGGCCAGGAAGTGTAACATGACTTGTGAAGGACTAAATGAGTAAATGAGTGGCATGCCTAGGGCTCATCTTTGGACACCAGTTCTGTTGATTTCCCCCTATTTACAGATAAAGACACAGACTCAGACTGGATTAAATCACTTGCCCCCAGTCACAAGGTGCAATGACTTGCAAACCTGACTCGACTCATTCCAAAGCTCATGGACTAACCCCACTCCCACCTCAGCCAACTCCTGTCACAGGGCCTCATTTGCGGTCATCAGAACTCTTCCTGTGTTCTGTTCACATCCATTACCTCTGTATGCTATGACCATGTCTCAGGTTCTCCAAGACCTACAGAAAGAGAATAAGGGGCAAAGCACTCAATGCATGTCAGCTTTTACTGAGACCTGTCATGTGCCAAGGCTATGCAAAGTGTGGTGTATTCCCAGAAAAACCACACTTATGTCTGCTTCAGTCAGGAGGTGAGAGTGTGGAGGGAGCTGAGGAACACTGCACCTCGGTAGTCCCAGCGCCCCAGCCATCCGCTGACCCCTGTGGTGCCTGTCCTTGCAGGATTCCCCGGAATCGGAGGAGAACCCGGCTCCAGAGCCTCGGAGCACCACAGAGCCGGGTCCGCCCGGCTACTCCGTATCTCCGCCGGTGCCGGGCCGCTCTCCTGGGCTGCCCATCCGCTCAGCCCGTCGCTACCCGCGCTCGCCCGCGCGCTCCCCGGCTACCGGGCGGACGCACACGTCGCCTCCCAGGGCTCCGAGTTCGCCGGGCCGCTCGCGCAGCGCCTCACGCACACTGCGGACTGCGGGAGTGCACATAATCCGCGAGCAAGATGAGGCCGGGCAGGTGGAAATCAGCGCCTGAGCAGCCTTGGGAGCCCGCTGCAGTTACCCGCGGTCTGCGGCCGGCCGCCCGGGGGGGGAGGGCTGAGAAGTCCCGGCACCGCTGACCAGGGGCGAGGGGAGGTCACCGTCTGGTCCTCTTCAGGGTGCACACGCGTGTGAGCATGCGCAAATGGGGAGCGGTGGAGCTGATCTGGGTGTTAAACCCAGTTGCTTGGGCACTGGGTTTACTGTGTTCTCTGGCTGTGTTCTCAGTGGGCATGGGCTGTGCCCTCTTAGGACTACATAGATTATTAAATTTCCGGCCCAATCTTTGAAAGGGTTTTATGGGAACTAACATCAGTAATCTTACCCCTAAAACCATCCTATTCCTGGGCACTCTTATGCTCCCTCCTCCCATTCCTCCTCCAAACCCTGATACCTGGGGTCCTTTTTCTGTTTTGTTTTGTTTTGTTTTTGTTTTTGTTTGCAAGCCCTGATTAGAGGCCAGTTACCCAAAGCTTACAACTGCCCTTAGCTAAAGAGAAGTCTGATGCCAGTTCCTGGGTGTACACGACTTGTTCAGAGTACCTATCACTGTCTACAGCACCTTCTTTGGGCGCCTGGTTCCCCATCCCTACAAGTGGTGACGGGGAGCCCCTGGCACACATCCCTTTGTCAGGGAACCTGGGACCAAACAGGACAAAGCATCAGGCTTCTAGTGCATGGCTGCCTCAGATGCCTCCCTCAGCAGTGGCATGCCATGCAGGGCATTCCTCTCCTCTGTTCATGGCAAGGTGGGTGGGCTTATTCCTCTAGAGATGTGCATGGCCACACACAGCTGACCCAGAAGATGCACCTGACAAGCAACTGCTTTTAACCACTCACACTCTTCTCCATGGCTTTCTTAGGAAACAAGCTTTCAAACAATCATTCCCAGGAAGGTGGAGGAGCTTCTTCCAACTTTAAGAAAGTAAGACTCTACTCTTGGGACAAATGTGGAGAGAGGAGGCCTATTGTTCCCTAGCATGTTGGGTAGGGCAACAATGACCCAACCCCTGGCCTTCTGCCTCACACCTGCCTTGCTCCTAGATAGATGCTCAGACCCCAGGCCAGTGGACAGACAAAGCAGGCTCCCTAATCCTTCCTAACATCATAGTACCAAAGGACTGGGCCACTGTGTAGTTGGGCCATGCCCAGGTGGCCCCTTCTTTGAACAGTTTGAAGGATAGGAAATTACCTACTGTGTGAAGACAGAAGGCACATAAATAGCTGAAAGACAAGGAGACCCCGGGTGTTCTGTCCTCCCTTCTCTAATGCCCCAGGAGCCCTTGCATTTCTGGCTCCTCCTTAACTCCTAAGCTTCAACTCTGCCTCCACACCACCCATGAACATCTCCCAAGGCCCTGTATCCATCACCTCCACACCAGAGCACACTTTGTCCCAGCCTCACAGGCACCAAAATTTCTGGTTTGCCCAAATTTCCTCACCCCACGAGCATGCCTCCCAGCTTCCTCTCCCTATCAACCCTACTCCTGCTCATATAAGCAGGATGTCTGCAGCTCCCCTCACTTAGCCAAAATCCACAGTCCCCTAACCTTGTCAAGTGCCTGATCTGTCATGATATAGTGCATGTAGGTGACAGTGCAAGCAGGTAGAAGATGTAAGGCTTAGAGAAGGAATACCTGCTGGTCAGCCTTAAGATACAGGCATGAAGGTTAGGGTGAGATGAGAGTATGCCACATCCTGGTGCTGAATCTTGGAGGGGCTGGCTTCCAATATTCAAGTCAAATTTGCCTTAAATTGGGGGTAAGTAAGGAAGTGGTTTTCTGTTTTTATTTTGTTTTGTTTTGATCTTCTTCTTTGTATTACTAGCATCTAGCAGAGTGCCTAGCACATGCTAGATGCGCAATAAACTTTTGATGAAATGAAATCAACTTTATTTCCACTCAAGCAAGCTGAACAAATGAACAACGAAACTAGGCAAGTCAATTCCTTTTCCTTTTATCGTCTTTCACCATCCTTTCCTTTCTTTCCAAATTGCAAATTGTCCATTCCCAAACCATCACTTATCACTCATTCGTTCATTCATTCATTCATTCATTCATTCATTCATTCATTCATGTGTTCTCTTACAAGAAACATTCATTTTTATACCATTGACCAGATCCTAGACACAGGTAATGGTATAATTATGCCAATCTCATCGAGGAAGAAGTGACCAGATTATAAGGATGAAGTGACAGCAATAGATACAATACAAAGTCCGCAGGAAGCATTAGTCAGCAGTTACAAAAACATGAGAGGACACATCCCAATAGAAGGAGAAGAATGTATAAAGTTTGTGAGAACAGGATGTCTAGGGCATTCAGGATACTGAACCATAGAAGTGGATGAGATTGTTTCAGAATAGAAAGTGAAGAAAGGTCAAGATAGATCTCTGAGGCCTCAGAGACTGTATCATGTGAAGAGGATTAAAAGGATCTCAAAAAGGAGGTACTTCAAAAAAAAGGTACTTCAGGGTAAATAGGCAGAAATACAAGAGATAATGCCAACATACAATCAGAGAAGGGACTTTCAAGAATGATGGAATCTGCCAGGTGTGATGGTGCATGCCTACAATCCCAGCACTTGGGAGGTTGAAACAGGAGGATCTGTAGGTCAAGACCACTTTAGGAACACAGCAACACCCGGTCTCAAAGAAATCATAGGGGTGGGTGTGGTGGTGATGGAACAGTTAACACTTCAGAAGGGATTACATATGAAAAGGAATTAAAAGTGAACATTAGGGATTGAGGTACAGTTCTGTGATAGAACTTGCTTAGCATGTGTGAGACTCCAGGTTTGATCTCCAGGAATGAATGAAAGGAAGGAAGGAAGGGAGGGAGGGAGGGGGGAGGGAGGGGGGGAAGATGAAAAAAGAAAAATCATAAAAGGAAAAAAAGCACACATTGAGATCGGAAGCAAAGGGATCATTGATCAACTTGGCATAAGGAGTTTTAATCATGTAGTGATAGTTAAAGCCAGATTGCAATGGATGCTGTTCTGGATACATGGAACTTCTGCTAAATACTTGAGACTAGATATTTGAAAGGTCTTCCTGTTAAAGAACAAGTATGTCCTACCTAATTAAACTATATTTATTTTTTATTACTGACCTTTGAGAGCTAGGAAAAATTCCAAGGAAACAGAAACAAAAAAAATTTTTTTTAAAGCATGACAAATCCAGTGCTTTAGAGTTAATAAAATGTGGAATTACTCTGCATATGTTTACATTAGCATTGTAATGAAAAATTAAGAACCAAACCTGAGACTCAGGCACTCCCAGCTGATAGCTTCCAAGACAACCAACAAATAAAATGTAAATCTTCTGTGGCGAAAAGCACTTTAAATTTTATGCGATTAAAATGAATCAAAGATAAATTATCAGAGAGATGTGGTGACACATACCTGTAATCTCAGCACCCAGGAGGCTGATGAAAGAGGATCAGGAGCTTGAGGCCAGCCTGGGCTACTTAATGAAGTCTTATCTGGGGGATGAATGGGGGAGAGTTAACAACAACAGGAAGGCCATTAAACATACAAGGAAACAAATCACTATGAATAAGAGCTAGACAATTTAAGAAACAATAGATTCAAACCCTCAAAGCCTTAAGATACTGGAATTATCAGATACAAAATAATTATGGAATTCTTAAAGAAACAGCAGACAATATTTACAAAGATGAAGAAGCAACTTTAAAGACTATAGTAGTAATCAAATTACTATTTGAAAAGAAACAAAATAAAACTTACCACTAAAAATAGGGCTGCCAAGATGACTCAGTAGGTAAAAGCTCTTGCCATTAAGGTTAAGGAATTGAGTTCAGTTTCTCATTTGTGGATGAAGAAGCCAGACTCCCACAATTGTCCTCTAATCTCCACAGTAGTGCTGACCCTTTCTCAGAATAAATAAATTCAATATACACATAATTTGTTAAAATAAAACCATGAAACTGGTATGTTAGCTCATGCCTGTAATCCTAGCACTTGGAAGATGGAGGCAGGAGGATCAGGAGTTCAAGGTCAGCCTGGACTACAGGAGACTCTGGATCAAAACAACAAAAAACAATAAAAAGGGTTAAATAGCACATTAAATGCATCTGAAGAGACGGTTAGTTAATTTGAATATAGGTCTGACACTATTCAGTCATGAAGATGAAAATATGAAGAAGAGGTTAAGGGATATAGCATACAGAATGAAAAAGTGACACATTTTTATCAAGCCCTCGCAGAAGAAAATGGAGGGGAAGCCATTTTTCTTTTAAATGATTTATTTGTTTTATTTATTTATTTATTTATTTATTTATTTATTTATTTATTTTATTTTGGTGTTGGGAGTGGGACCCAAAGCCTTTGGGTAGGCCAGGCAAATGCTCCATGGTCAAGTGACAGACTATCCTTTTTTATACATAGTGCATTATATATTATAACTTTATATATTGCACATATATGTAATAAGCCAATAAAGAATGAAACACTGGAGCTAGAGAGATGGCTCAGCAGTTAAGAGCACTGGCTGCTCTTCCAGAGGACCCGGGTTCAAATCCCAGCACCCACATGGCAGCTAACAACCGTCTGTAACTCCGATTCCAGGAGATCTGACACCCTCTTCTAGCCTCTGTGGGCAATGCACGACATGGGTACACTTACAGACACTCAGGTATAACACTCATGCACATTAAATAAATAAATAAAAAGTTTTTTTTTTAAATAAGGAAACAGGTTAAGGATACAAACACAAACTCAATCCATTCTTATACAAGAATAGAGAAAAATAGGGATAAAGAAAATGTAGGACAATAGAAAGCAGAAAATTAAATGATAGAAACAAAGCTAAATTGTAAATTTTCTAAATTTGCCAGTTAAAATTCAGAGGTCTGTCAGTTTGTATTTTTAAAAATCCAGCTATATGTCATTTAAATGAACTATATAGCCAAAACAGTGATTTGCAAAAGTTAAAAGTTATGGGAAAAGATATACCAGGCAAATAATAAACAAAGGGAAGCTATCAATGTAACATAAGAAACAGACCATAGGGGCTGGAGAGACAGCTCAGCGGTTAAGAACACTGGCTGTTCTTGCAGAAGACCCGGGTTCAAATCCCAGCACCCACATGGCAGCTAACAACTGTCCGTAACTCCAGTTCCAGGGGATCTGATAACCTCTTTCCTCCGCGGGCTTTGCACGACACGGGGCACTTACCTACACACAGGCAATACACACACACATATAAAAATAATAAACAAAATATTAAAAAATAAAAAAGAAACAGACCATAAGCTGAGCATGGTGGCACACACTGTAATCTTCGTATCCTCAGGATACCAATGCAGGAATATCAAAACGTCAAGAACAGCCTGGGCAACTTACAAGACCCTGTTTCAAAATAAATTAAAAGTGATGAGGAGAGGGACTAGGGTAGCTCATTGATGGAGCACTTGGCTAGCATATGCAAGGCACTGGTTGAATACCCCAGAACTGTAAATAATCGTAATACAAAAATAAAGTGGAAACTACATGACTAACAGCGTGACCTTGCTTCTTCTTACCTGAGACAGTATTAGCTAACTTCTGTCATTACTAGCATGCCTTTTGTGCTGGTCCAGTTTTCATTACTGAAACCAAGTACCTGAGGCAGGCTAGCTTTAAAAAGAAAAGATTTATTTGGTGCACAATTCTGGAGGCTCAAAGACATGGTACCAACATCAGCTTGGCACTGGTGACTTCATGGTCAATGGCATCACAGTAATAGGAGCCTCTGTGGCAGTGAGAGAACACATCACTAAAAAGGAAGCCAAGGAGTGATTCAGGTGGTCAGACTGAGTTTTGTAACAGCTTGCTCTAGAAACACTCCCAACTTTTAAACAGCATTCCCATTGAAAGGCGTCACCATTAATTATCTATAGACCATCCACTAAGCCTACCTCCTAAAACTCTCACCTGCCAGCATCATTATATTGAGGACCAGGCCTCCAACACATAAACCCTTAGGGGAAATGGTCATACCACAGCCAATCCATCTCACCTTTTTGTTTCTTATTGAATTTTTTTGATTTCCATACAAATTAATTTGATGACATTTATATCCCCTCTCCGATCCACATCTCCCCACATTACCCCCCACACACTCATTTCAATGTACTCTCTCTGTATAATAAAGCCTATATAGAGCCTATCTTGAATCCCCATATGTTCTCCATTGGGTTTCCATCCACTGGAGCTTGCATAGGACTTGTGCATGCTGTCACCATTGCTGTGAGTTCACATGAGTAACCGACCAGCCGTCTGGAGAACTCCACCCCCACCCCCACCCCCATAGCCCTCCACCACCTCTGGCTCTTACAATCTTTCCACCTCCTCCTCTGCAGTGATCCCTGAGCCCTGTGCTACAGAGGCCTGACGGGCATTCCATTCAGAGATAAGCGCTCTGCAGCCCCTTCCTCCCTGCACATTAAGAAGCCATAAGTTTCTGTGTCAATCACATCTGCTGCATAAGGAACTTTCTCAGTGAGAATTGAAAGATTCACTAATCTTCAACACTGGGTGAGCACCTGATCCAGCACAGTCCATTCCTATAATCCCTCTTGGGACTGAGAGTCAATATTATGAGGATACCACAGTTACATCTCACAGGAGGGGGCCGTAGCTCCAGATCACAGGAGGGTACCACAACTCCAGCTCACAGGAGAGGACCACATCTCCAGCTCACAGGCGGGGTCCACAGCTCCAGCTCATGGGGGTCGGGGGGACCACTACAGCTCCAGCTCATAGGAGGGAACCACAGCTCCAGCTCACAGGAGGGGAACCACAACTATAGCTCACAGGAGGGGACCACAATTCCAGCCCACAGGAAGGGACCACAACTTCAGCTTTCATGAGGGGACCACAGCT